ACAAGTGTCCATAAGGCATTTGAATATTGGCAGTATATATTGGATTATGTAAAATCCAAACAGCATGACTTACAACTTGCAAAGTTTTTGACCAGTAGTAAATGTCATCATTTCTTCGTCATCATGTTGCATCTCTACCTGCCAGTATCTACTCTTTCTTCATGATGGCATTCAACAAGTGATAGCCCATGCAAAATTGAATTGATCCACCTTTCTTTCTGATCAGGATGCTAAGAGAATCCTAAGAACTATCTGAAGGCTTGATAACATCCCTTCTTTTACATGCTCTTTAGAAGTTTTACTACCTCTCCCTGTTTGGTAATTAGTAGGAGTCTTGGATGTTGCCTAATTGGCAAATAATTCTCTGTATCAATTCTATGCTGTGTCATACTGCCTCAACCTACATCAGAAGATGTTAGGGAGAACAGGACATGCTCTGCAACACTCCTCTCTTCATAGCTTTATTGTGCATTCTGCAATAATTACAATGTTAGGCTTTCCAGACACACAGAGTAAAGGATTATTGGTTTGTTTAATGCAGGTCACTGGAGTACATGCTGCAACCACTTCACATTTCCTAATGACTTTGACCTTTTCACTTACGTTAGCAACACGTTGACGAGTGCCCAGGATACTAGTACTCCCATTGGACTCTTACAGTTTTTAGAATATTCCATTATGCCACACAGAACATTTCTCTTTTCAGTTATGCATCCATACAGAAAAAATGTTCTTGCTGTAACTATAATATCCTATCAAGCTATTATTTTGTGGATGGATTTAACTCCTTCACCTTTAATTCTGAACAGGGCTATGTCCTCAGAGGCAAAACACAATTCATTATTTTTAAAGTCTAAAGAAAAAATGTATTTCCTTAGAAAGTCTAATCTGAGTAGGCAAGGATCGCTATGTGATTCCAAGTGGTACTACTAAATGTGATATTAACATTTATCTTTCCATCAATACTGATTTTATCATCAGACACAGTCTGAAGGGTAACACATGGTGGCATCCAGATGAGTTTACTTTCCAGTCATTGAGTAAGATCTTTTTGAATAACGATAACATTGGCTCCTCAAATTATGGTCATAACATTGGCTCCTCAATTGATGGTCATATTACAAGGAATTCCATTCATATGTCCCATGATGAAGACTGCATTACTGTCTCCATTCATTGCAGAAATCTGAAGTGCTTTAAAATGCTCTCAATATTTGGTAACCTTTGTATTGTGATATGGTCATGAATTTGTTTCCTGCCTTCTTGTTGACAAGTGATCTTAAATTTCATGGCCTGGGGTATTCAGTTATTCCTTCGTAAGTAGCCATCACTACAGTTCCACCAATTTAGGGTCAGTTTTTTGCCACTCCTATTCCAGTTCAAGGCAGACTTGCGTGGTCAAATCGTATAGATGAGCAGTCAACTGGTCCACTGGCTCTTTGACATGAGCAGCTTTGATTGGGTAGTGGTCTCTAAGGGTTGCTTGCTGGGCTACCTTGGATTTCATGGTGTACACTAAAGTGCTTTCATCTTGACATACATATACAATACTTGACATCCGCCATTTGCAGACCTTTCTGTATATCAGGACTCCGGATGTCATTGAAGAAGTACCGCAGCAACAGGATTTCCTTTCTTTCTAAAGGGCAGTCCAGAAAAGCCAGATGAGACAGTTTTTTAATATCTGTGGCAAACTCCTGTAGAGAATCCATGGGCATTCGCAAGATTTCAATTGAAGTATGCTATAGTCTTTTAAACACTTCTGGCCAAAGTGCAGTGCCAGTGTGCCAGACAGAGCATAAAAAATCTAGCCTCTTGTTTATGAGCTGAGTTTGGAGGATATCCACTGCGTCTGCTTTCAGAGAAGCAGTGAGGTTTCAGAGAAGCAGTGAGTGAGCAAGGGAATCCCATCCATTTGCATACACCTTTTTAAAAAAATGAGTCTTGCACACTTTTCAAGAGAACCTTTCCAGCATATATGGACATGTTTAGAGAGGGTCAGATTGCCATATGTCTAAATTTAAAGTCATCAGAATTGTGAATAGCTGTCATTATGATGTTTCAAGCAGTTAACTTCCTTGGTGACAGCAGCAGAAACTCTGTCATAAATTTGTTGCTCAACAGTAAAAACTCTTTCTTCGATTGTTGTTGGACAGCAGAAACTGTTTCTTTGATTTGCCTATTCAAGAGGAGAAACTCTTTCTTCAGTTTCCCTAAACCATGTCATCCTGCTTTCCATAGCCACAAATTTGTTTTCTATTCTGGAGGTAATTTCTCTTTTCATTTCCTCTTGACCTGCTTCAATCTTTTCTGAGTTCATCTCAATTTTAACACAATTCACGGCCCCTTCCAATGCAGCAAAGACTATCACCAGCTGTATTAGTTGCTCTCCATTGCTCTTGTCACCAGCATTCAATCCCATTTAGGACACCAAAAATTGTTACATGCGTGCAGGTTCATAATGCACTGAATGCAAACAGAACTGATGACAGCTTGATAAAATTTATTTTCTCAAAAGATATACTTTACAGTTTCGAAACTTTCTACAGAAGTTCTTGTACAGCTCTTCTCACTGTGACAGAGCACAATCAGTAGTTACCATTTCAAACTACTACCAATTCAAAAAAGCTAATGCAAAGTGCATTTAAAGAATGAAGCTCACACTCTTAGTACTCTGAAGTCAACTTTGAACTAAAAATTGAGAGCTGATGCTCTATCTTGACCGATATAGTTTTCTCCTGACTGCTAAGAAATACTACCTTCTATTTCATGAAATTATTGGAAAGCATATAGTGTTAAAGTTACATGTAAGACCCGGATATGGTTATAGTTATATATAGGGATACAGTAATTCAATTACAACACCAATTGGTTATACAGGAACCGGACCAAAATGTAGCAAAGTGTGGCGACTTTTGGCAATTTCTCTCCAAATTTTGGAATAAAAATCAGTCATGAAAACCATCGCCAATTTAGCAAGATACCTATTTACCTCAGTGTTTAAATAGACTTGCCCCAATAATCTTATTTTTCCAGCACGCGAAAAGCATCGCCAGCTTGGTGATATGTCACCAATTTAGCAAGATAGCCCTTTATTTCAATGTTAAATAGACTTGCCCCTATAATCTCATTTTTCAAGCACAGCTTCATTTCTTCAATCTGTTCATATTACAAAGTTACTTCGGTTTCACATATAATTTTACTAAAATTATTTACATATTTACAAAATTCATAACAATGTGTATAAAACATTCTAATGAGTTACTGCCATAAAAAAATAATATATATCGTAAAAAAATAGAGCCAAATATCATAATTTCATCTCGAAACAGTCATTCATTGCTTTAAGAATGATTAACTGTAAACTTCAAGAATGATTAACTTTAAAAAAAAAATAAATATATAAAATAAATAGAAAATAAAAAATATCTTAGATATGGCAAAACCGCGATTTCACACAACTTTTATACATAGAAGTTATTAAATAAATGAAGGAACAAATTTATTAAAACATTTGAGAATAAGACTTTTTGGGCCATTTCATATGTACTTTTGCAGTACACATAGTTCACACTAGTAAATATACCAAATTAAATCAAGTTCTATTGCAAGCTTTTATACAATGGTTACATATGTACTTTCAGGAAAGTGGCACCATTCAAAATAGTTGCTATAGATTATAGCACTGAAAACATGGCTAATTTTTAACTTTGTTAAAATATACATTTTGCAAACAAATGCTTTTCAGTAATGGAATTTAAACAATAACCTTACACATGAAAACTTGAATCACTAATGCTTTGAGAGTAAAAAAAGTAAAAGAACTGCAACTATTTAAAATACAGCCAACTTTACAAATGTTTTAGATATTGGATATTATGTCTCCATACAAGAGTATTATACTTTACAAGCATCACTGCACAACAAGATAAATTATTACATTAAAAAATGCTCTCAGAATTTCCTTTTTACACCTCAGATAAATAAAAAGTGTATTAATCATAGAATAAATAATAAATGCATCATCTTGAATTTCCTTGTTACACCTCAGATAAACGCATCATCTTGAACTTTCAGGTTTTAAAAAAGTAAAACCTTTAAGGGAAAATAAGAGGAAAGAAAGGAACTTATTGTACTCCAATCTTCTGGTCAAATTTAGTCTACGAAGACTGCCCTTATCTGAGTTTTTAGCTCTCAGCACAACTTCATCTACAGTAACAGAAATTAGTGCAGAAGACTTCAGACAAAAGTAAAAAAAGTATGCCTAGGCTCTGAATATGTATCACTTTAAAATTGCAAGCCAAAATATGCATAAAAAAAGGCATTTTCAGGAGAAAAAGAAAGAATTCGCCTCTACACATATGACAACACTAAGGAACAAAATATTTTAGTACTTTCAGTTGTACAGACATTAGGATTTTGTGGAAGCCAGAGAGATGAAAAATATGCAACTGCCTTCGCCGGGAATCGAACCACGGACCTCTTGATACCGGCCCAGTGTGCAGAACCACTACACCATGAACAAACAACACTAGGAAAGTGGGAGAAATACCTTACACAGTTAGTAAAACTGAATGTTTCAGAAGTACTGATTTAAACACTCTCTCCTTCTCAAAATGTTAAAAAAAGGAAAATTTTCATGCAAATGCATTACATTAAAGCAATAATAATTAAATAACCTCTCATAATTAAACAACATTTTTAATTTAATAATCAACAGATGCTGTTAGTAAGCATTTCATAAACTTATTTCAAGAGCAACATAAATATACTAAGAAACAAATCAGATTATTTTAAGATTTACTTTGCACACGGCGGGGGACATTAAAAGGACCATGCAACCAATTCTTGGATTTAAGCTCTGGTTAAATTTGCAGTGTTTCGAAATATTATTCACTCAGACATTGTAGAACATGAATTAGATGAAATTAATAAAATGTCTTTTACACATTTCAAATATCAAAAGCTTCAACAGTAATAAAATTTAAAAAATTGCTAACCTCATCATAACCAATTAAAGCAGCATTAAATTGCGCTGTAAATTCTTTTAGGTTCTTCTTTTTATCTGAACTCGGCATCTCCTATTTAAATAAGCAAAATTATTATTTCAAAACAGAAATATTTAACACCATTTTCAACTCATTATTTCCAAACAAAAGTATTTAATATTGTCAACTTAATCTGCAGTAAACAGTGCCTTATTGCACAATTTAAGAGATATGAAATTATATTACCACTAATTTATCCATGCGCAGCTCCACATCACTCCACATCGAATCTACCAAACTATTACGAAATACTCTGCCATGTTTTTCTGAAATTGTAACAGCTATACACATCCTGTGTAAATAAAATAATAATACTTATAATAATAAAATAACTGTTTTACAACAAGTGATATCTTAATGTTTCCTCATGCAGAAGTATTCATTTACTCACCAGACATGAAGATTAATAATATGGAACCATGACTGAAATGTATCAGGTAATTTGAAGTCTAAAATTAGAAAGAGTTACTACATCAATAAAAATAATTCAAGCATTTTTTAAGAAATAATAAGTAATAATAGCTCTACAACAATACAATCAAACAACTCTACACCAAGACAACAAAGATAAAAGGTCATAATCACGTGCATCTTGATATTTTTAGTGCCAAGAAACAATGTTTCCAAGATAGCTGTTCCTTAAAACAATGGCAAAGCATATTACAAAAAAAAAAAAAATTACTCGCCTTGTTTGTTCTTAGCTACATCTCATTGTCAATGTCAGATGACTACAACACAGAGAGTTCTCTAATGCAATTGATATAACCCTGGAACACATCCTCCTCTTCCTGATCCTGGTACTGGTGATTGCATATAAATTTTCCAAAATATGGGTAAAAAATGTCACTCGGTCACTGCTGAAGACCCTGCTTGTGAAATTCCTGTTTTATCTCATTCCATATACCCTCAATGGTGTTGGTATGGGTGCCAGTTTCGGGTTCTTTGTAAGTCAGGGAGTAATTCACTGATAAATGCTGAAAGCCTTGATTACCAATTCAATTGACAGTTTTCCACCAGTCTAAGATAATTGTGGTTTTAGACAGAATTTGTTTAGAAATCACCTCCAATAAAGATTCTTTCATGCAATTTTCCACAGCCTAAAAAAACACCTTCCTCTCTTTGTTTCAATACAACCAAAAACCCACTTTCCATTCATCCGTCTACACCTATTATACTTCCTTTTGCCAAACTTGCTCTCATCAATTCCCACAATCATACTAGGACCTCCAGTTATTTTCCTCTTTTTTACATGTGCATCCCTACACACTTCTGTACAAAAATTCCTGCAGTCAATCACAGTTTTATCCAAACAGACATTCACCTCATTCATAGTCAGGTTCATACATCCACAAATAGGTAAAAATTAAAACATTAATTATACTCATCTTGCTTTCTTTGAGCCATGTACCATTCCTTACAGACATCTTATACTAATGAGCATTTGCACCTTTCTTACAACAGACCCACTCAAGACCATCCAATTCATCCTGACACTCGACCAGATGCATATCATTTATACAAACTACACATTCACACCGAGAACTAATTAAACATTCATTCATGCATCAATCAATAATAGTTTTCTTATCTCTTTGACCTAAATCATTAAAAAATGAGGATTTATCTTGCCAGACATATTTCTTTGCAGAAGTGATGGGATAATGATTAATGAGAACCAGTTAACGAAAACAAATGGTCAATTTACAGCATTTAAAATTTCAACAGTTCAAAATTCCAAATACATGATTTTTAGAACGCAATACATGTATTACAAATCACACAGCCCTCTATCAAGAAGCTGAAAACTTCCAATCATATTACATTTAAGAAAAACATTAGTGGGCAGCGAAAAAAATGCTTGTCATAACATTGAAGAAAGAGAGTCAGTTCGGAATTACCAGAAAACTGGTATCAGTGTTGATATTTGACACCAATCCAAAGAGCACCCTTTTCTATATTAAAACCCTAAAAGCATTTAAAAATAAATAATTCAAGATGATATTTTAGAAAATAACTATTGTTTAAACAAATTTCAGTTTTGACGCTTTCAATTTCATAACAGCGTATCAATTGTTATTTTACAACAATAATTTTAAAGTTTAAAATTTCTTTAGCAACACCACTGAATGTATTGACTGCTACTGCAATATTTAACATGTATATGGAGAGGTGCAATGATCACAGGACAATTCTAAATATACTGATTTAAATAACTACTTTTTTTTATGTTTTTTCCATTGTAAACACCAAAATTCTCTGTCTTAAAAAAAAAAAAATAAATAAATAAATAAAAAAAAAAAAAAGAAAAGATGCAGTGGCCCACTAGTGCTGTAAATTAGACAAAATATTCATTAAAATGGTTAATAAAGTGCATAAAACTTTATTATTGTAGTAATGAACAGAAGGGAGCAGGATACAAAAACACATAAAGCATGGTAAACTTTGCAAAAGTCACAAGGTAAAAAAAATCCTGCTAAGCTTACACTGCCTGCAGAAGTTTTGGGATAAATATACAGAGGGTTAATAAAGACTAAAAAAAAATTAGATTTCAATGCTATTTAATGTTCAGTTGAAACTTTATTCTGTGCATCTCATTTCTCATACTAAATCTTATCACTCTACCAAACAAGAAATTAATTATTCCTATCTTTATGTTGCTTATGTGTTCACAACCTGTTCTTACTAAAGAAGCAATTAATAGAAGTGAAATGCTTTTATTCATTATTACCACTTTTTTAAATAAGTTTCAAATTACCATCATCTTACATTAAAATAAATTTATTTAGCATTTAAAGTTTACAAAAAAAAAAAAAAAAAAAAAAAAGTTCCCTATTACATTACATTGAATTTTATACCCTCTGCTGAAGTCAGACAATGTTTTACACTTGTTTTCAAAAGATAATGCTGGAAATGAATTTTGTTCTTTTGAATTATCCAGGCTCCCCTGAAAAGTATTCATGAGGTTTATTGTGTTGCCAAAATAGGCAATCCACAGCATTGCACAGAGATTGTATGTGTATATATATATGTGTGTGTGTATATATATATATATATTATTTCATACTCTGTAGTCTGCCAAATAGCTTGTTGGCAGTGAAAATTAGTATTTTTTTCTTCTTCCTCATTACGCCACGACAATTATTCATAAATTAATTAATTTCCATTCATTAGTTAATATACTAAAAATTTAACAGACGCTTTTTCACTCGCATAAAAACTCTGAAACAACCTCCCTCAAATATACCACGTCCCTCCCACGTACCTAACATAGCTTCTCAAAGGTTCACTACCTGTAATATTTCGAAGTATCCCCACTGCGGATAACGGAATTTCAGATAGTATGGCTTGCAACACCCTTTCTGTGTAAAAAACAGACGAGAACACATTATTGACATTCCACTAGAAAGAATGCAAGTTAATTAATTCATATTCTGGCCTTTTTGTATTTCATGTACATTTCACACTGTACATTTCATTATATCTTATTATATATCTTTCAATTTTTCAAATTTTATTTCATTTATTTTGCAAAGATAGTATAGTTTCTTATGTTTCTCATGTTTATTTCAATTATTTCAAGTTCTATTTCATAAATCCACTTAAGATTACTATTTATTATTTTTATAAAAATAGTTTTGAATTAACATGCATGAAAGCGGGGATGTCGGGGCACACTTTACTCAAGTATCATGTAATTTTTATTACATAATTTGGCTATTCACTCAAAATTTTTACAGAATCTATTGTCTTAATGAAAACACTACATTCAAAATGAGTTCTTTGGTACTCTAATTTGGCTTTAACGACTCAAGTTTTCTAAAAATCCCAATTTGGGCCTTAACTAAATTTCCCAGTTTGGCATCTTCATTCTCACTTGAGTAAAAGACGAAACACCTTCGCATTTATTAATTATTGTTCATTGAACAAGAGTTGGTTTGTTTCCCTTAAAAATTCAAATAATTTCCAATCAATGACAATAATTACTTGGTTTATTAATTTTCTTTTTCAAAGTTTGAATTTTTGTTATTCATGATTTAAATTCAAATACCTTACAAAATCTTTTTCATGATTTAAATTCAAGTCCTCTTAAAAAAAATTTTCGTGATTTACATTCCAGTTCCTTTTGAAAAACAATTTTCGGAATTCACTTTTATACTTCTGGGTTATCTCTTTTTGATACATTCTACAAAATTTATATTAGGAGATAATATAATAAATATTTCTTTAGTAAATAAATTAATATATATATATTTTTTTTGCATTCTTATTTTTCTTTTGGAATGTAGAGTTCACCTTCTGATGAAAATGAGAGTTCCATTTCTTCAGAAATATAACGTTTTTCCATCAGTAGGGAATACAAAAATTCACTAAGTGATGAAATTTTATGGACTGAAATTTGTGCACAGTGCAAAATTTATATAATTCTCAGATTTTTTAAAGCAGAAACAAATACTGTGCACATAGAACGTGAAACAGCATATACAGTGCCAAAATCATGCAATTTTCTTCCCCCTTTTTTAAGTGAAAATAGATCACTATGTACATGGGTATAACAACAAAGCAAACAAAAATTGCATAAGCATTTCTTGGAACAGGGTAAGTATTTTTTTATGGATATTTCTTTTTTAAAATTTTATTAAATCATTTTTCTTTTACAGAATTCTTAGGTGCACTGTAATTTTTAAAATAGCTATTGCCTTTCGCACATTAGCTTACCGAAAAATTAATCGCCAATGAGCTGGCAATTTTTTAGGGGAGGGTGCAGATAATCAGAGAATAATGTAATTTATTTCTAAACTTCTTAATTTCTTTTGACATCATTTGCATCAAAAGTATTTTAGAACCACAGAATATAAAAATTACAATACAAAATAAATAGCTACGCTATTTACAAAAGATAAAATTCTTACATAAATATCAGTTTCATATAATTAATAACTAACATTTTACAATCTAAGCTACAAATAAAAACAGGTAATGATACTGAAAAAGAGCAAAATACCAAACATTAATAGCACTTTACCTATACCATACAAAACATAACAAAAAACAAATACTCAGACAATGATTAAAGTTGCTTTCAAACTTACGTTTAAAAAATGCCTCCACATCAATACCATCTGCACATTTTTCATATGCAATGACACCACCCACTTTTGCTTTCTACAAAGGCAGAAATATACAGGTAAATGACGATAAACAGCAGATTACAAATAAATAAATAAAATAAGAAGCTTTAATAAAATATATAATCTACATACCGTGTTCTTAGAATATATACGAGACATGCTTTCTTTTAACCTTCTCAATGCCGAACATTCTATAGATGAGGAATGAAATCCTGCACACTAAAAATATACAGCATATGGTATAAAACAATGTAGATGATGCAATTTAGTGTTGGTACTTACGTATTAACGCAATCAGGCCAAAATTTGCATAAATCGCCAAATGTGGCGACCCTACTTACGGTAACCCTACGTGTTTAGACGAAAGTTTATTTGTAAAAAGTAAAAATAACACTGGGCATGTACTACCACAGCAATGGGTTTTTGGCGGAATTTGCCGAGAAAAGAAAGATACTTTTTTGGTTACTGTACCAAACAGAAGCGCCGTTACCATGGAAAATTTGCGAAAATATCAAGGAAGGAAGCATCATTTTATTCGGATTGCTGAAAGGATACAATACAAGTGAGTTCGAATGCTGGATTTCTGCATGGAACTGTTAATCACAATATAACTTTGTGGATCCCAACACGGGCGGTCACACACAACATGTAGAGCACATGTGGGGCTCAGCCAAATGGCACACAAAAAGCAGAGAGGAACAGCCCGTCATCATCTTGACTCATACCTTATCGAATTTATATGGTGCCAAGCTCAAGCTGTTAATGGCGAACACGGTTTTCAATCATGCTAAAGCAAAGCCAAAAGATTTCCACTGAAAAATAATTCTGCAACTTATTCAAATTCGAACGGAAGGGTTTAATGCTATTTTTATTTTAAAACAAATAATATAAAAACTGTATTAAAATTATCTGTAATTAATAAATGTACATTTTCTTTCTATTCATACTTTTTTACTCAAACTTACAAATCGCGCCAACCTGGTTGCGATAATACGTAAGTACCTTAGTTTTCTTTATTCAACAAGAAGTAACTGTATAATTTTCAAAAAACTCCAAAGCCATGAAGAAATTAAAAAGACTTACAGCACTACATACAGCAACTTTATAACATAATACACTGTACCCTCATTCTTGATAAAAATAATTCTAACAAACTTAGATTTTCTTCTACTGTTCACACTCTTGCATCACACTCTGGCATTCACTTCAAACAAATACAGTAAAAATATATTTACGGGTACCCCTTGGTAAAAATTGGCGATTTTTGGCGGTACATGGATACCAAGTTTGTGCAATTCTTTCAGTTGTTATTTTGGCTTTGTGTACAAGACAAAGAATTGCACAAGCCAAAATAACAAGTCAAAGAATTGCACAAACTCGGTATCCATGTACACATTGACCTATTTTCACTTAAAAAAAAAAATCAGAGAATTGCAAAGTAACATGGCGCACTCCGTTGTCATGTACATATTGAACTATATTACTTAAAAAAGTCAAGGAGCAGCCACAAAAAATATATCTCAATAAACTATATTTAAATCAAACATGAAATAACATAAAAAGGAAATTCATTTTGCATTACACAAAGGAAATAGCCACTTATCTTATTTATGAATTAACATGTCTTCAGTCAAACAAAATTCCTTAATAGCATCCAAAAACTTCCTAAAATTATCTGAACTATAATCTGTATACTTGCGTCGGCGCATAAATCCACAAAATGAGAGTCAAAAATATCCTCCGTAGCGAGGTTCGACCATACGCATTTCCGATGTTCGACCATACACATTTCCTTCCTAGAAACAAGACACCTAATAATGGCTACTAAGTAAACCTTCATTTACACAGCAGTCAAGTAATGCTCTTTTCCCCTTTCTTTCAAAATCGTACAGAAATTTCAAATTAATCTTACCACATTCAGCCATTTTACCATCTAAACCACAAAACAAGCAATATACTTCCTAACCAACACACACACCACAAGCCCTTACGAATTTACCACAATTATGTCATAATAGGGTTTCCATAACATCCAACTACTCAGGCTACCATAAATGAAACAACTTCGTGATAATACAAGGGGTATCCTTCTCTCTACTCTAACCAGAAATAGTTTAATATTTTGGTCAAGATGTCTAGAATTTCAAAATGAAATATAAAGAGATAAAAGTTTTGATATTTTATCTAGTGGTAAAAATTACCAAAATCGATGATCTTTTGTTTAGAGATGACATAACAATCAGCATCACAAACAATTTTGAAAATAAAACAACTAATTCATTTTTTCATAAACTTTCGGGAAAAAAGTGTGAGATTTTTAATGATTTATCACTTACATCTCGCTAACGGAAAAGTACTCACTTTCTTCTTTGTGATATTCACAGACTTGTATATAAACCAAACCCCAAACTTTAAAAAAATTCCAAAAATTCTCGGGTTATACATGGAAATATATACTAACTGACAATTACTGATTGCTATTTACTTATTTAGATAATTAAGAGATGCAAATTACATAGGCAGAACATGTTAAAGCTTGAATAAATATCAGCTCAGTCTTAGATTATATGACAAATTCATTAAAACTCGTGCTTCATTCATTCAAAAACTATTTTGCCAATTCAAAATCTCTAACAGCATGGCCATTTGATATATTTTACAGTGCAATTTTGCTGAATCCTAGAGTTTTTCAGTGCATTAAGTATTTACACCAGTATAATTACTCCCATAACTTTAAAAATACAGTCAAAAGTCGTTAATCCGGATTCTGGATTATCGATTTTTCCGGATTATAGATCATCAGTTTAAATTTCGTAAGATGGCATGCAGAAATTCTAAAATTAAAAATATGAAACCGTAATTTATGAAATAAAGAACAATTATGATCTAAAGGTATCAAAATTTACAAAAAAAAAATTGCTTAATATTTATTTGTTTACTTTATTAAACATTTCTTTCAATGTAAGTTGTTTAAGTTGCTTTGTTTTGTGTGATAATACTTTCTCTTTAATTCTATAAACAGACATAATTTCTTGTTCAGTTACAAAGTTCTGCTGTTCAAGTCCCGTAATTGCTGTGCCGAGAATACCGACTAACTTATCAATCGAAATTTTTTCGTTTTCACTAACCTCTCTGTCACCTTCTTCATGTCTTTATCCATTTTTTGCAGCAATCCCATTTTGTGTTTGATGGACATCGAAACATACTTTCGTTTTGTAGATCCTTTGGGATCTCCAGCATCGGAAATTATATTTGACATAATCGAAAGTTCAAGTTTACTTTTATAAAATTGCTCTTACAGTCTGAAAAAAGTAATAAGCCGGATCCAGTTCGAAGATTAAGGAACAACGCAATCATCAACATTAACTGAAATAGATAATTAGATAATTTTAGCTTATAACGTCCGTTATACATTAAATGTGCACGTGAAAACTTATTCTGCACTTGCGCACACGCATATGCGCAGTCGTAAAAGTCTTATGCGCACACGTAAACGCCTATGCGCATGTGTGAACGCGCCGCATGCGCAGAAAGTTTTTAGCTTTGAAGTCCGGATTATAGGTGTCCGAATTAACGACTTTTGACTGTACTCCCTTGCCAGCTATTCTGTATAAGGTAGATCCCGAATTTTGATAATTTTTTTTTAAATACACAGACACAAAAGTAAATAATAAATAGTGATTAATTACAAAATTTAAAATTTAAACTGATTCTTTACAAAATTTAAACTGACTTATTGAGAATAAGGGCCACCTAACAGTAAAATTAAAATCTTATGAATGAGCTGTGATGTCATGTTTATCATTTACTAATGTTAAATCCCATTGCTTGGTGACAGTTCTTGTTTGTCAGAAAAAGTCAACACAAAAATATTTAACATACGTAAAATTTATCATGCTATTAGAAACTGCTATTGCTAGTTAATATAGTTTTCAGTAACAGTTAAAAATTACATTACATACCATCTGCAAACATAAATTGTTGCATTTTGTACTTTTAAAACACTTCAAGTAAACTGAAGACAATTTATACAATGGATGTCTTATTTTACTTATTCCATGGACAGGTAAAATTAAGGATAATTGCATTGGCCTAGATCTTCTTATCAACTGTAGCTGATTCATATCTGTTGAGGGTAAAAAAATTCCATTATGAAAAAGATTATCCTTAACATTAAAAAAAAAAATCAGAACACTAACAATATAGCAATTTGTTTTAAATTTCAAAATAGATTTTTAAAAGCATTCCATTTTACTTAAAAATAATCCTTCGCCCATTTTCTTTATACAGTAATATCCAAATTCATACAAACTCAAAGTTATATGATTTCTTATTGTAATTAATTCATATTTGAAATTGTAAGCAATTCAAACAATACTAAGAAAACATAACATTTACGTTGCTTCTACATTACAACTAGCTTTAAAGAAATAGTGTTAAGCAAAGCAATAAATTCTGCTAATGCTCTAAAATTCCATACCCCCACTTCAAAAACTGTACTTATTTAATATTTTGTTTGCAGACAATATAGTTGTTCTATATTTATATGCACAATATAGTAAATACATGTTTATATGCACAATGTAGTGAATATTTTATTTTTTTTTGTACCAAAAAAGTTGTACCAACACAATTTGATATTCTTTATTCATCCCATTCTCCTGCTAGATGAGCTGACTCATCAGATGAATATGTTAAATTTTATCAAACCATCAGTATGAAAGTAAATCCGTTTTATGTAGTACATTTGTTTCACCATTATTTTGTACTGATATGCAAGAAAACTAAATTATTACATACATTTCTTTGGAACTAGTGTTTTTTAAGCTTTTCATTCAATGTAACTAAAATTCATAGACATTCATAATCAAAGTTAAACCCATGATTTATGTAATTTTTGTCACTCCCATCCATTTGCATAACTTCTGGGTACTGTATTTTTGCTCTAAAATTTGGTAGGGTCTCATAAATGGCATATCTCGATAAACAAAATTCTAGAACAAGAGGAAGAAGGTTAATTATCATCCTATATAAAATAATTACAATGTTCCAATACAGTACAAAGTCCGAGATCCAGACATCTAATATCCGGAATCATCTAAAATCTAGACCTCAAAGCCACCACAATTTTTTTTTTAGGAATCTTTTTTAATGCTCTATGCATGCGCATTTGATTTTTTTTCCCTGTTTGAAAGCATGTGGAGGATCCCGATTTTTAATTTCACTTCGGTACTGAATTAAATACACTGGTGTGCAAAAATTAAGGACGAGATGGTTTTTTTCAATATAACTTTGTACAAAAGCTTTCCAAATCAACACATTTAATACCGTAAGATCCCCAATACGTAAGGAATGAGTAATGTAAGCACACTTACTAAAAGAGAAATCAGAGGGATAAAAAGAAGCTTTATTGAAAAAGTAGCATGGAGCGCAATGCGACTGAAGGCCGAAACATCCCTGTGATGGGTGTCCAGCAAGAAACATCCGGTCTTTAATAGGGGATATGATCTCCCCTGACTGCTAGGCAGGTTTCACAGCATCTGCCCATGCTGAGAATGAGGGTGTCAATGAGTTGTTGAGGCATTGCTGCCCATTCGTCTTGCAGCGCCAATCGAAGCTCCGGAATCGTTACTGGTGGTAAGGTACGAGCTGCCAATCGTCTGCCTAGAAAATCCCATACAAGCTCCATGGGATTGAGATCCGGAGATCGTGCCGGCCAATCCATACGTTCAATATCCTCACTCTCTAAGAGCTGTTCGGCAGCTACTGTGCGATGAAATGGTGCATTGTCGTCCATGAAAAGGAACTGCGGACCCATAGTGCCTCTAAAAAGACGCACATATGGAAGAAGAATCTCATTACAATAACGGGTCCGTTGACTGAACCTGCGTCAAGGATGCGAAGGTCTGCATGACTACCAAGCATGATGCCTCCCCAAACGAGAACACCGCCACCTCCATACCTGTGCCTTTCAATGATGTTCGAGGGATGATTGCGGCTTCCTCGCTCTCTCCAGATGAGTATGCGATGAGAATCGCTACTCAGACTAAATCTGCTCTCATCTGTAAAGAGTACTCGTCCCCATTCATTGTCTCTCCAATTCCGGTGTTAAATAAATTTGTGTAATAAATTTGTGTGATCAATAATTTGGTTCCGTAGCTGTGTACCTGCTTTTCCAATTAATGGATTTTGTAAAGAAATGTGGAGAAGCGGTAATAAATAAAGATTATATGACAGAAGTTTCTCATTGCAATGGCAATGTTCCAATCATAAATCAATTAACAGACAGCGACATCTGTAGTAGGGTTCTAGATCCAGAAAATACCGTTACCAATAGTGAAGACAAGATGTTAGAAGTGACAAGACGTTATTGAAAATAAAAAAATTTCAATTGATAAGTTAGTTGGAATTCTCAACCCAGCAACTACAGAACTTGAACAGTGGATCTTTGTAACTGAACAAGAAATATGTCTGTCTACAGAATTGAAGAGAAAGTGTAAGCACAAAAAATGAAGCAACTTAAACAATTTACATTCAAAGAAATGTTTAATAAAGTAAACAGATAAAAGCTTTCTTTTGTAAATTTTGATACCCTTTAGATCATAGATGCTTCATTATTTCATAAATCATTATTTCATATTTTTAATTTTATAATTTTTTGCATGCCATCTCACTAGATTTAACCTGATGATCTGATATCCGGAAAAATCCGAAATCACCAAAGTCCCGACGAGTCCGGATCTCGGACTTTGTACTGTATTAAATTAACCATGTAAGTAATTATCATATAAATTGCATAACTACCATTAATAAGTCACATCAAACTGAGAAATCTGATGTGACTGATTAGTCACATCAAATTTGTTGTCCACTACAATCCAAAGTAGTGGATGCAGGCTAAATTTTAGTTTTCCACTACAATTGTCTTTGGTATGCCTAACAAACATGTACAGTCAAAAGTCGTTAATTCGGACACCCATAATCCGGAATGATCTATAATCCGGACCTCAAAGCTAAAAACTTTCTGCGAATGCACTTTCTGCGCGTTGGCACATGCGCACAGACGTTTTACGCGTGTGCGTAAGACCTTGACTACTGCGCATATGCGTATGCGCAAGTGCAGAATACGTTTTCGCCTGCGTGTTTAATGTATAAAGGACGGTGTAAGCTAAAATTATCTAATTATCTATTTCAGTTAATGTTGATGATTGCTTTGTTCCTTAATCTTCGAATTGGATCCCGCTTATTATTTTTTGCAGACTGTAAGAGCAATTTTATAAAAGTAAACTTGAACTTTCGATTATGTCAAATAGAATTTCCGATGCTGGAACTTCCAAAGGATCTACAAAACGAAAGTATGTTTCGATGTCCAACAAACAAAAAGTGGAATTGCTTCAAAAAATGGATAAAGACACGAAGAATGTGACAGAGAGGTTAGTGAAAACGAAAAAATTTCGATTGACAGGTTAGTCGGTATTCTCGGCACAGCAATTAACGGGACTTGAACAGCGGAACTTTGTAACTGAACAAGAAATTATGTCTTGTTATAGAATTAAAGAGAAAGTATGATCACATAAAACGAAGCAACTTAAACAACTTACATTGAAAGAAATGTTTAATAAATTAAACAAATAAATATTAAGCTTTTTTTTTTTTTTTTTTTTTTTTTTTTGTAAATTTTGATACCCTTTAGATCATAATTGTTCTTTATTTCATAAATTACGGTTTCATATTTTTAATTTAGAATTTCTGCATGCCATCCATATACGAGATTTAAAACTGATGATCTATAATCCGGAAAAATCGATAATCCGGAATCGCCGAAGTCTCGACGAGTCCGGATTAACAACTTTTGACTGTAATAACATATCACTGAGTTTTCAACAAACCTGTTCTTCAGCCGCAACTAATGGTAATGTTATTTGAAGGGCAATATCAAAAAAAAGGGGAAATTTTTTTTTTTTTTTTTTTTTTTCAAAATTACTCTGAGTATTACAGAATTTCATAAAATTCATTCTAAATTATAAAAAGGATCTGGTATTTGAGGAAAGTTTATGTTCCAATAAATACATTATTTACTACAAAAAATAACTTCCATCGGGGCTTAATTTTTAAAATTAGCAGTGCCGGAGCCCTATGGAAGACTGTCAGGAAAGAAGAAAAATAAAGAAATAAATAAAATGGTTAGTAACATAATCAACAATTAAACAGTTAAATAATTAAACAATTACCGTATTTGATGGCATATAAGATGCACTTTTTTACCTAAATTTGGTCTCAAAAAAGTTACCTGCGTCTTATACGTGAAGGACACAGTCTTACACGTGAAGGTAATTGCATTCAATAATTGTTTATTTGGCTTTTACGAAACGTGGGAACTAAAAGAAACCACGCTATTGAAACTCTTTTTCCTTGTGTGTGGCCGTCAAAATAAGGGTGCGTCTTATATGCCGTCAAATACGGTAATATTAAAATTTAATAAAATGTAAAGAGATAAATAAAAATATAATAAGTTCTTAAAGAAATGATAACTAATTAAATATTAAAATAAAGTATTGGACTTAAACATTTTATTAACCATTTTATTTATTATTTAAGGTTTCGGTTGGAATTATAATTTCACACAAAAAATAAGAAATAGCTGAACCACTCTTCGGTTTAATTTAAGCTCTGAATATAATTTACAGACCATTCATTTTCCAGCACATGAATAAAAAATGCTAAACTGGTTAAAGTCTCACTAATGAAGATATAGAGAAGGCTACACACAGTAAGGGAATATGGAGAAAATTTTAAAGGATGACATGTAGGTACGCAAACAAAAAGTGAAGAATTCAACATTTTCTGACCACTGTCTCCTCTCAATAAAATTCCAGCTGTCAAGCAGAATATGATAAGGAACAAATTTTCACCAAAACCGAGGGTTAGCTGTAAAAAAGTAAGAAGTGGCAATTTTAACCTGCCTTTGGTTACATCATTCCAAAAAGTCTGCAGTGCTCTTTTCCGTGGAAAGATACTAACACTGGTATGAAAAATTACCCACTCTTATAAATTCATTATATTTTCTGGTGAATAAACCTTCGACACGTGGGTGGGGTCTTCTCTTGCCTTAAAAAGTCTTGACTT